TGGTAATGACTGGCTCAAGACTTAATAGAGGAAGTGCAAAGTAAATAATGTAATGTTGTAAAAAGGAGATGTAATGTCAAATGAGAATTGGCGCCGTGTCTGAAAGCGCAAGGAGGGAGGAAAATCGTGAGAGAGAATGCTACGAGTTAAATTCAAATCTGCTCAATAGTATGAGCGGGCACATTTTGTAAGGACCCTAGTTGTCAGCTCTCGATTGTTTTTTCATTGGATGTTTAAAGACTGCGCATCTTACACTAAATGTTTAGTACATCACGAACGTTACTCACAATTTGTTAAGATTACTCAGGCTCTTAAAATCAATTTGCTGAAAAGAAATAATTTGTTCTCCCTAGAGTTTATCTATATATTTTCACATCACGAATCATCAATTTTAGTTTTCAAGAGCGCTTCTTAAAAATGCTTTGTTCTAGTTTTGAGACTCTGATGCGGCTCTTCAAATCTAGGATTTCCTTTCTTCGATTGCTTTAATATCTTTTTCCATTATCTTAGAATTATACTAATCTTTTATCGCACAAGGAGCGTAGCTCTTTTAGGCCTAACATCTCCCACCATCCCTGGATTCCTTTCTATATGGATCTTCGTTGGATATGCAGTCGTCATTATAACAAGGTACTGCGACTACTTGAAGAAACTTCAAAAATCGAAAAGACGCACCGGCTTCAACGTAGATGTTAGTCTTTTTCTCAGTTAACAAGATAGAGAATTTTATAATTTTGTTTCTTCCTTCAGTTGTCTCACTGTCGCAGTGCTACTTCCAACACCTATTTTAATTGCTATTAAGGTTTTCAAAGAACGAGTGTTTGGCACCCCACCATTGAAAGAGTTTACGCGCACAGAATTTCCTCGCTGCGCAGACTTGTCGGATTCCAACATCGATGACATATTCGGTGACTACGAGCCTGATGTTGCGCTTTACTAAATGTAGCCAGCTAGGAATGCAAAACATGCGTCTGTGAGGTTGCTCCACTCTGTATCATCTTCGTAAACTTATTTATTCATGGTTTTATTGTTTTGTAAAGAATAATCCACAGAATGCCCAAATAAGGGACACATTCCATCATCTAAAGCATTCAGCTGTTCTCAGCTCATCATATTGAAATTCTGGAAGAATTTTCATTTTTTCTACTTCGCACGTTGTTCCTCAGCCTTCTTAGCTTCATGCAACCCTAATCACTGGAGAGCTAAGGGCGTGAGACTCAAGCGTTGTTTTCAACAACCTAGTCAGGAGCTGTGAGTTTCAAGAACTTGAAGAACGAAAAATTCAATCTTCTGAACAACCTCGAATACTCTTTGCTCCATCATGCTTCTGGGTTATATCCAGAAAACTGACTTGGACTTTTTTTGTGTAGTGTGTTCCGTAATTAATGACGTATTATTCTTTCATTGTCTTATTGGGGACTCATTTTGAGGGAAAGGTATTCAGGGACAGAATTGCTGCAAGAACAGCGCAAATCTGTAATGTGACTAGTATATGAGTAGTTAGGTAATATTTTTGTGTAATTATTTTGATCTAATAGTTATAAGACATGTTATGAATTTGGACCACTGCATGATAATATGAACGATGCAAAAGTGTCAGAATTGCTCCATTCATGCATTCCTAGTGATAGTGGCATTATCAGTAACCTCATACTATCAGAGAGCTCAGAATATAAGATTCCAAACT